CCTGATAAGATTATTGTGCAGATTAGTGTGTTAATGTACAATTAGTATGTAAAATTCTTAGGACACTGCCTAGCATGCAGCACGTAGATCTCTCTAATCACTAGTTTTTTTCATCTATGAAATGGCATAATACCTGCCTAGCAGATTTGTTAATAAGATAACGCATTATTGTATATATATTATTCAGTTTAATAAAATGAGCACCTTCTAGGCACTTGAATTACCATGGTTTTTGGCTTCAAGGAGTCCATGATTTAGTAAGGACCCAGACACAGTGGAGTATGACATAACCTTAATACTGTTCCCATGTCCTCTCCTGTGCCCTTCTAATCTATGTCCCACACAGAGCAGTTTCAGAACACATTAATCAGACCATGTATTCCCCTGCCAAAATTATTTCCACTTCTGTTACACTTTACATAAACCACAGTCTCCATTGACTTTAACACTACACTCTGGGTCCTGCCTCCTCTTCTGATCTCATCACGTGCCACTGTCCCCTCTTCTGGAGACTCTTACCACACAGGCTTCCTCTTGGTTCCTTAAACCAACCCTCTCATTCCTCGGTGCCCTCTGCCCCGAATTTTCATCCCACCTATGCTGACTCATCATGGCGGACTCATCTTTTAGGTCTCAGCTTGACTCAGTCATGTTCTTAGTTACAGACAACAGAATCCACTCCTGCTGAGAGCGGGTCTTGATTAATATTGCGCAGCCCACAGAGTCCCCAAGAAGACCAGCAGCCAGACATACGAGTGGCTATAGTGACAATCCACTGCTCCCACCAGCACTTGACACCAACACAACTTCCACAAACACAGGCCTCGAAACTCAGGGCTCTCCCTCTGGGGCGTTCGCCACTCTCACCACCGGGTAGGCAGAGGTTTTTTGGCACATTTCCTTCTTCGTCTTGCAAATCTTTCTTGCAACAATAAAGTTGAATCTTTCTGACTTCATCTTTCAAGTTGAAGTTCTGTGTGACTATGCCTAAGTCAGCTCTGCTTGGGTTGCAAAAGGGGTCCGGGAGCAAGTCTTCTCACAGGAAACTCTTCAGGTATTAGAGGGATGTTCAAAAGTGCTGGACATTCCAAGAACCTGTCATATGAATGCTAAATATCATGTTACCTCAGCCAAAGGCCTTCCCTGACAGCCCTCAGTATACACATACTCTCCCCAACCTGGCCCCATATTCTTTCACTGTGCTCCGCCATCTTCTTCAAGGCATTTACCACAGCTTCTATTGTCTGTTGGTTCAAATGCCTTATAAATGCTGGCGCCAGAGTCTGGTCTCCATGTGGAGTTTCATTCAAATAAGTGTCAAGCAGCCAAAAATAATTTTAAAATGTATTTCAGTTCTTAACATGGGTCTCTTGGAAGAAAAAAAAAAATTATCGAAGGGGATCCAGTCACAATTTTCAACCGTTCTCATAGGTTTGCATTTCCTTCTCTCTCTTTGTTCATTCCCCCCAAATCCTCCTGTGCATGGGTTTAGTGTTTATTTGCACATGTTTTCTGCCTGTTCTCTTGCATCAAAGACATTCAAAACCGGTCTGAGAGATCCACCTTTCTCAGGAAAGAGGGGGAAGAAGTTGAGACACCTAGGAGGCTGAGAACATAGACACATTAAGCATTTTGGTTCACTGTGTGTGTCTGAAATCCAGATTATAAATTTTACGAAGACAGGGACACTATCTGTTCTATTTGTGCCTAACGCAAAAACCTGACAAACACATAGCCAATTAACATCTGTTTTCTGGAAAAAAAAAAAAAAAGTCCACCAACTGAAGAATAGAGAAGGTAGTACACAACACAAAGCAGAAGCTCTTGACTTAGTGAAGGGTTGGCTCAGGGACATTCCAGGGGTGCGATGAGAGAGGAGTTTGGGAAGGCATCCTGGAGAAGATGAGGCCACAGCCGAATCATAAACAGAAAGAAGTCACTGTGCAAAGAAAAAGGTAAGGTTAGAGAAGAGTTCCAGGTAGAAGTGCAACCCAAGCACAGAGAAATCCCAGTCAGCTTGCATGCTATTGCTAAAGGTGAGGTAGGGGGCCTGGCAAAAGACAAGCAGAGGGGCCGAGGCAGGCATGGGGAGCCTTGTATGCCATGCCAAGGAAGCCTGGCTTTCTCCTGTGGGTGATGCAGCCACAGCAGGTAGAGTGAGGAGACTCTCTCAGATTTTCATTTTAGAGATTACTGGGTGACCGTGTGAGGTTAGATGTGACAGTGACAAAAGAAAAAAAATAGTTGTGTAGCAAAAAATGTAGGCCTTTAAACAGGGCAGTAGTTGAGAAGTAGTAGACAGTAGGGATAGGTCATAGGGATAAGTTTAAAGAAATTACTTGGAGGTCAGATTTGTAGTACTGGGTGGGTGACTGGATGCAGAAAAGGGAGAGAGGAATCTGGAATAGTGTCCAGACTTCTGGCTTGGAGAATGAGGTCATTAGCTGGGGTGGAATTAAGGGGAGGAGTCATGGGTTGGCAGTGGTGGGGAGACCTGGAAGACCTCCAGTTCTGAAGTGGACTTTAAAGTAGCTTTGGGAGGGCGTCTGGGTGGCTCAGTCAGTTAAGTATCTGCCTGCCTTTGGCTCAGGTCATGATCCCAGGGTCCTGTGATCGAATCCTGCATCTGAGACTCCCTGCTCAGCAGGGAGCCTACTTCCCTCTCTGCCCCTCACCCTACTTGCGCTCTCTTGCTTGTGAAATAAATATATACAATCTTAAAAAAAAAAAGATAAAGTACCTTTGGGACTTCAAAGATTACATGTGCAAATTGGATATTTGAGGCTGCAGCTTAAGGCAAAGGCTAGAGGTAGAAACGCTCTTGAGGTGGGGAGCAGCACGGCGGGGACCGTGAGTTTCAGAGTTGGCTGCGGGGTGCACTGTTGTCAAGAGGGGCATCTGGTCCTGCCGACATTCTTCCGCCTTCCCACCTCTCTTAGCACTGCTCTTCCCTCTGACCATTCCTTCTCCAAATGTTTTGCCGGCTCCTCCTTCCCTAAAATGTGGGGTTTTCAGGTGACTTCGCCACCTGGGGCCCTACTGTGTGTCCATCAGAGCTTTATCTCCAGTCCAGAATTCTTACGTAGGGCAAAGACCCATGTCTCCGACCACTTTTGAAGAGAAAAGTGGTAGTTGGACTGATTGTCCAAAGGACCACGCAAAGAGGGTGTGGCTCTCGGTTCTGTTTCTCCGCATTCGAGACCGGCACTGTGAACGGACACTGCCTGGGACTATCTCTTGTTTCCCTGAAAAATCAAACTTGGACATCAGGGGTCAGAACGCAGTTCTGTTCATATGCATTGGTATGTCCCCCACCTCTCCACTCTACTTTAATCTTGTACATGCCTTTCTCAAGCTTCTTCACTTCCCTTTTATGCCTAGTATATTGTTTTCTCCTCATTATGAATTTAAATCAGACAAAGAAAGAGATAAAAATTTAAGTGTTTCTGATAGAGGGGTGACTGGCTGGCTTAGTTGTAGAGCACACGACTCTTGATCTTGGGGCTGTGAGTTTGAGCCCCACGTTGGGTGTAGAGATTACTTAAAAAATAAAATCTTTAAATATTTCTGATACAGAGTAAAAATAACTGCTCCGATCATAAAAGAGGAAAAGAGTTTACATGGATCCACTTCTTTAAAACAAAAATCACAACTCTTACTTTTGAGAAAGGGGTGCTTTTTCTTCTGGAATACCTTGTTCCATGATCACTGCTCCAATGATGAAGGGACTCTGAGCTTATAAGCAAACCATGCCATGACTTAAGCTATTTATGTGGAGAAGCTGGTTAGAACACAAAACCAAAGTGCTAAATTCACTTTAAAATGTTTTCCATACCAACTACTTCAAACTAGTGATAACAGTATGACCTTCTAGTCCCAAGGAGTTGGACAGGATTAAAAACACTGAAAACAAACACGCAGAACCAGTGGGTCAGGCTTTGTGAGTGGTGCTTGGGTGAGGTCAGTCCGTTGACCATCAGTAGTACCCGAGTTCGACCATCAGTAGTACCCGAGTTCAAAGGCTACAGTGTGGTTCTTTAGTATGCTTCCGTTGTGAACGAACATCTTTGAATTTAAGCCTTTGGCATGATTTCTGCAATGAGGAGTCTTTAGCATCTTAAAAAATTTTGCAGAAGAGATTAAGAAAGTTCCAATTATTCCAGAAGCTACTGGTATAAAAATCACGTTTCTTCTATCAGATTCAACTGTTCAGAAGGTGTAAGGTGTGTGGTCAACACCTGAGGGAGCTGCATTAAGGGGCTCTCAGCCCATGGCACTTTGCCCTCACGCACTCGAGGGAGCCAGCTTGAGTGTGAGTGAACACTGGGTTGCGTAACAATGACGTGGCTCAGGAAAACTGGGTACTTTTTTGATCAGCTTACGGTTAACAACAGACAGAAGGACTCATTTTGACTTATATATACATCCTGGTAGAGAGACCCACACAGACAGATGCGTAAGAATATAATCATCTCTGTTTTCACAAAGTACTCACAACTTTGACAAAGAAAAGTCACAAGTTTATATAAATGCCCATTTTTATACCAATTTGTGAATTCAAACGTTCTCTCAAAAAGAATAGGAGATACTGCTTTTCGCAATCAGTTTGGGATGAGAATACTTTTGATACCATCGGCATAATCATGGTATTCTTCCTAGGTTTTAAATTTCCCTTATTCATTTACGACATTTTCTCTGTCATTTGCTAAATGTTGCCCATCCTCACATTAACTTACTATTATTACAAAATACCTTTAAACTAGGTGTATACATATACAGGTACATATATATTTACTGAATGAAACTGTTAATACTTGACCTTTTCTGATGTATGAAAATAGTTTTTTTCACATGGTTGAACCTAATAAAATATGACCTTTAGTTACATGGTTATATCTCCATTTATATATGTATGTACTCTATCTCTACACACACACACACACACACACACACACACACACAATCAACGGGAAGAATGAAAATCTTTCTATTCACCAGTTCTAATGCAGCCTTGCAAAACTGTACTTGCTGACTACTGGTAATTTTTAATGAAAATGTTTAGAGGCATAGTAATTTCCACAAATTTAGTACTGGACCAAATAAAATCTGGTCCAAACCAGGCCTACTGTCTTTGAAAGCACACCACCCAACTGTGTAATGGGGACAGCCTATCCTGAAAGATGGCTTTTGCAGGCTCACGGTCAGGTCTAGAATCAGCAGGCCAAATAATAAAATGCTGGGGCATTTTCAATTCTTCCTCTGTGTCCTCGGTAACATCCCACACAGTGCCTGCTCTGAGACACCATGCCAAGCACCAGTAAAAGAGAGAGGCCCCAGACCTCGCTTTCAAGAAACCTGACATCTTTTAAGAGAGATAAACATATAAATAATGAGAGGATAGTCTAAGTGTTTTGAGTTTCAAAATGGGACAGAGTAAAATGCAAAAAGCAGATAGCGCTTGAGAAGTTTTTAAACTGACTTCAAACATCAGGCGCGACAAGCCCCTACAAATGTGTACTGAGCTCTGGTCCATCCATATGATAATCACAGGTATCCTCCACCGTGGTCCTGGCCCCGCACGCCCTTCATCACCCCACACAGGGACTAGAGGTCCTCCAGGTCAGTTAAATCCACAGCCACCTTCAGGAACATGGTGTCGTCTTTGATGTAGGTGTTCTTGGTATTCTCCAAAGTGGAGTGCGCCACGAAGCGGGGACAGCCAGACGCAATGTTCATTTCCCCGTCAGGTCTTTTAAAGCTACTGCTGCTGGGGTCGGCCTTGAAGGTCTCCATGATGTGGTTCTTTTTGCCGCTCTGGTCCAAAAGCATCAGGGTCACCCTCTGCCTGAACGGCCACTGCAACAGGGAGTCAAACTCCCCTCGCATCACCACGAAGTACAGCGACAGGTGTGTGCCCTTCCCGGAGCCGTCGCCGTTCAGGTACGCTCTAGCGCAGAGCCGGTAGCCGCACCGGCTGGTGTAGAAGGGCTGGCTGAAGATGGACACCGTGTGCCCGTCCAGCGCCTCCCTCTTCCTCATCTTATAGTCTGTCACCTTCCAGATGAGCTTGCCATTATAGCAGGCCCCTTCTAGCAGCTTAAATCGCTCTTCATTTTTATTCAGTTGGGCTTTGTGGATATTAATGTGGGCATCGTGTTTGCTAGTCTCCCCTTCCAGAACAACTGCAAAGGGGGGGGGAAAAAAAAGAAACCACGGGCCTCAAAGCTGTCTTTAGAATCTGCCCAAAGTGGAATTCTGGTATCTGAAGAGAACCAATAAAATTCTGACATCCTAAAGATGAATCGAATTCATTGTCCACCAATGGACCCTTTGTATTAATAATTAGCTCAGTAAATCTCATGTCTTGGCAAGAGTAGAGAAATTCATACTCTTGAATGGAAGCTCACCAAACTGGAGAGGAGACGCCCCGCATTGAACTAGCGTGCATTAGCAAGGCGAGCCTCATTATTGAATCACGGGGAGGCTTTTAAAGAGCCAAACCCTTTTATATTTTTCTATACTTAAAGTTTCCGCCACATCTCTCTCTTAGCTTTCTCATCATTTCCCACTCTCCTAAAAAACCACCACTCCCTGTTTCTGGAATTTCCTGGCCCATTTCCAACCCCTGCCTGTTCCAGCCCCCGCTCATCGCCCTCCATCACTACCCCCCACCCCCCGACCCTGGAGTGGCCAGAGTCTCATGCTGTTCTTTTTCACGAGTACCAGATTCGGCCATTATTTATCCTGGACAGCTGGGACTCTCCATCTGGCTAGATGCAGACTACAGAATCATCCAAAGAGAAGTAAAACATGACACATACCTAGTCTTTGATCATTGGTTTCTAGCAGAGTGATTTTCTGTTTCACCGTATCAATCGCTTCCACCAAAGCCCTCAGATCAAATTTACTTTGTTGCTGGTTGGCCGTCTGCAGTAGCTGGCGCACTTGAGCTTCTAGCCAAGCTGACTTGTCAATGTGACTGGAGAGAGCCTTTCAGTACAACACGGATCATAATGTCAAAAAAAAAATTTTTTTATTACTATCTTAGTAATTAATTCACTGAGATTAAATGTTTTCAACTCAAACATTTCAAATTTAATTAATCCATTAATGAAACGAAAAAGGCACAGTCCAGAAGAGGAAAGTTCAGGGAGGATCACAGAGAGATGAACCACTTAATATCTTCCTCCCCGACCCGGTCCCAGCTCCTGTTCCAAATCGATGAACTTCTCTTCATCTGACTTTTACTCCTCCCTCAATTTCTTGCCATTTGGTTCTCTAACCTATGTTTATATCTCTGTTCTATTGTCTTTCCCCTTGCCTTACAACTTCCTTCTCAGAGGCTACTCTCCTGATCCATTCCCACTCTGCTAGAAGGCAGAGAATGAGCTGGAAGGAGACCCACCCGTTCGGGCCTGAGCACTAGAGGGGGTAGGAAGTGCCCTGAGGGAGGGCTTGAACTTGTGATTGTTCTCCATGGATGGAAGATATTGAACAAAACTAGGCTTGTATTACCCCTGCACCCTTGCCCCTCAGTTCCTTAACTCTGAAGGGTTTCTGGGTTAGAAAAAGGTCAGAATTGAGATAATACCATAGGAAGGATTTCCTTTTTTTCTTTTTTTTTGGGTGGGCGGGGATTTCCTTTTTTTTTTTCTACACACACACACACACACACGGGCTGCATTTTTCTGGGAGAGTCCACATTTCAAAAATACAACCCATACCCATGTCTTCAAATCTTTTTCACTATAAATTTTGTAATTACAACAGAGACATTACTCATCAGAAATGTGTTTATGGTTCTTTAACATTCACGATTTGCAAAATCATTTTTGCTATATTTTAGTGTTGCTTAAGGCATCTTCTTCCCAAGGGAATAAATAGTTTCACTTTGTTGACTGCAAAATGCAGAACTATAGAATCTCTCAAAGAATTTGCCATCAAAGGACTAATATTGGCCCAGTATTAATTACAACCCCAATTGCCATAAATTATATAAAAGTATTATATCAATGTTACATGTACGGACACTGTTAAATGTTGGGGTTATGTGAGAGAAGATCTTTATTCTTACAAAATACAGACTGAAGTTTGTAGGGATAAAGGGCCCCAACATATACAGCTTACTCTCAAATGGTTCAGAAAGAACACATAGAGCAACAGAGAGACGGACAGAGATATGGGACAAAATGCTGACAATGAGCGAATCTGAGAGAACACTGTCATTTTTAAGCACCAGCTTATCCTTGTAGATTTTCTTTACATTTGAAATTATCTCCATTTAAGAAGTTGTAAGAAAACTTGGACTGCCAGTTGAAGGCTAAATCTTGGCTATGAGTAGAGAGGTCGTTTCTCACCTGGATGTTTGAGAGGAAGCTTCCATTTTTGCCAAACATCTGTGCAAACTGCTTGAACTCCTTTTCGAATTTCTTTACAGTTTCTGCTAGCTGCTGGATTTTACTTTCTTTCTGCTCTAGGCTCTTATATAAATCAGAAATCTAGTAACAGGAATGTGAATGAGATCATTTAAATGCACGGATACAAATTAAAATAATGTAAATATATGTCTAGGAAAATATTGCAGGTAAGAAAGTGTTTCTAGAAAAATATATACATATATATACATTTTTAGGGAAATATTTGTCAGTAGTCTCCTATATAATATCTTCGGGCACTTCAAAAAAAAAAAAAAAAACAGACGCACAGATTTCTCGTCAGCCTTTTCTATACTTAACCCGCTCAGATGGTTCATCTAACGACAGTGACATCACTTGGCTAAATTTTCGGAATTGGTTCTCTTCATTCACTCAGCGCACACTTGTAACAACCACAGAGTACCAATCACCACACCACAATAGATGCTCTCTGCACAGTGTCAGTAGTAACAGCTGAAATGTGCTGAGTGTCTGTCCTACCCTTATATTCATTAGCTCTTTTAATACTCAAAGAACCCCATGAGTGGGGTATGACTATCAGTCCCATTTTACAGACAAGGAAACAGAGGCAGAGAGTTTAAGTAACCTGCACAGCATACAGCTAGCTTAGCAAGTGGTAGGCAAATCATGTTATGCTCTTAGAATCTGTAACGTATTGGAGGGAAATAACCAAAGCCTTAGTGTGAGCCGAGACAGCTCTTCTCATATACCCTAATCCATTCAGTCATCCATACTTACCAACTTTGACTTCCGACACGCAACAAAATGAACACGACTCCTATATCCACTTCTTGTTTCAACTTATTTCAACGCCTGTTTTAGCCTTCATTATTTCTCACCTGGGCTACAGATTCCCAACTGGTCCTACACCATCCCTCATGGTCCTTCCAGAAGGGAACCTCTATGGGAACTGGGACACGGGTCCCACGGTTCACTGTAACCCTAGGAACTGGTCTGGTGCCTGGCATCAGCAGGTGTTTGAGACATATTTGTTGAGTGATTCTATGAATGAACGATTCTCTCCCTTTCTTTAGTCTTGTTTTCCTCAAATTCATCCTCCGTGCCGCAACCAGAGTAATATGAAGGGACGAATCTGGTCTTGTCACCGCCCCCTCTCCCTTAACTATGAGGATAGTTACACACCCTACATGATCTGCCCCTGGCTACCTTCTCGGCCTCCTGCCCAACCACGTCCCACATGTGCCCTGCCCAGCAAGACTACACACGTCCATTGTCCATTGGGTCCTGCTTCCTCAGATGCTTCTTTCTCCGGCTAGAAACCACCAATTTTTCAGTCTCCGCTCAAGGGCACTTTCTCTCAGAAATACTTCCTCACCAGTACCACCAAGCTAGGTCCTCTCTCAAATTCCAAGACCCCCTGGCCACACGCTAGCATGTAACTTACCCTCATTACCCTTATTGCTTTCTGGGGTTGTTTCACTCTTTTTCCTCTACTACATTGTTGAGGCTACATCTCACTCAATTCTTCATCCCCAAAGTCTAGCACAGCGCCTGACACCCAGACGGCATTTGATACACATTTTATAAAAGAATACACAAATGGCTGCAACGACCGTGTGATCTCTGGCCCCGGAATCTTCCAGTACGACCCTGAGAGCTGACTTCCGCCTCCACAGCAGACCCAACCCCCTGATGGAAAGCAAACCTCGGTGTCTCCTCTCCCCACCCTCTCCTCTCCTCTGCTCTTCCTCCTGTTCCAGTAGTGCCCATTTCAGGTAATAACTACCATGTCCTCTGCCTTCTAGACTTACAGCTTGCCATTCTGACCTCTCCCCATGCCCTCTCCATCCCCACAGACACCGCCCTGGCTGACTGTCACCAGCACCGCCAGCTGCAGGAGATTGCCTTCGCCTAATATTGAGCTGCTTATGATAATGGCACTGAACTGAGTTTAAATATATTGGCTCACTTAACCTTCACCACAACCCCGTTTTATGAATGAGGAGAAAGGGAAGAGAGAGGTTAAGCAGCTGGTCCAAACCCATATGGCAAGTAAGGAGCCAGGTCTTGAAAGCAGGTGTCCTGGCTCTGGAGTCCCCACCCACCCACTGCCAGGCTCCCCCGCTGCACTGTCTAGGTTAGTACAACATCCCGCGGCCCGGTCCCCCTGTCCTCACGCTCTTCTCTCCCTCTATCCATCTTCTATGTTATGACCAGCTGTCTTACTTTTTTTTTTTTTTTTGCTTTGAGATTTTATTTATTTATTTATTTATTTGGGAGAGAGCAAGAGAGCATGAGTAGGGGGAGAGGCAGAGGGAGAGGAAGAAGCAGACGCCCCATTGAGTGGGGAGCCCAATGTGGGCCTCGATCATAGGACCCAGAGATCATGTCCTGAGCCAAAGGCATACGCTTAACAGACTGAGCCACCCAGATGCCCCACAGCTAGCTTACTTTTTTAAAGCCAAACAAATAATTAGGTGGCTACATACTGGTCCTCATCTACCCCAACTATCCAAAAGTTCACACAATGCCACTTTGCTTTTATGAAAGATGAATGTTAGCATCTGCTCTCACTAACCAAAAAGTCAAAAAGGATTTCCACTTTTAAGAAATCGTAACTGCTTCTTTGCTTTACACCCCTTCGGCTTATGAATGGTTTCATAGGATGGCTCTGCTTTTCCATAGTGGGGGAAATCTGCATTTTCCCATTTTAAACCTCCATTATTAGCTTCCTCTTATTGACAAACATTTGGCCCTTAAATCCCTTCTGAAACAAGGCAGAATATGAATGAATAAAAAAATAATCTAATGGGGGCGCCTGGGCTCAGTGGGCTAAGCCTCTGCCTTCGGCTCAGGTCATGATCCCAGGGTCCTGGAATCGAGCCCTGCATCCAGCTCTCTGCTCGGCAGGGAGCCTGCTTCCTGCTCCTCCTCTCTCTCTCTCTCTGCCTGCCTCTCTGCCTACTTGTGATCTTTATTTGTCAAATAAAAAAATAAAATCTTTAAAAAAATAACAATAGTATCTGCAACTTGTTAGCTCACACAGAAGGCCACTGCAATGTGGACCCAGCATACCAGTCTCCAGCTCTCCCCCAGCTTACACTCAGGAGCCTCGCCACCCCAAAACCCCCGTTCCTTGAACCATCAGCCTCATGCCTCCCTGTCTTTCCTCTTCTGAAATGCCCTCTTTCCACAACATTTAGGCTGACAAATGTTCTCTTCCTTCAAAGTGAAACTCCGATGTGCTCCCTTGAAGAGCCTTCCCCAACTCCCACAGAGGAAAGTGCTGCAGCCTCCGTACCCCAGACTGAGGCACAGCGTGTCCTAGGGCACAGCATCTTATCTATTTGCACTGTCATGAGTTCTACAAGGCCAGAAGCTGTGTCCTCCTCCAGTCAGAATCTCTAGCAACTAACCTCATGCCTGACATATGACAGGTGTCTGTTGAACGAATGAATGATGATGGATGCGTGGGGCGAGTGGTACAGAAAAAATTGGGAATGGTTACCAGGCAGTGTGCCCTGTACCAAAGTCACAGTTTAACTGGTCTTCCCAATTTGTTCCAAGATCTGACCTTGAAACTCACACACCTTCTTTAATATGGAACCAGACTTGAGAAGTCTGATCCTCTGAGATGTTCTAACAAAACAATTAACTTTTATAATAATTACTCAACCAAATCAGCATTTACTGAGGTCCATTATGAATATTCCAGCGACTGTGGCAGGCATGTGCACACACAATTTCACTTGATAATCCCAACTCCGTGAATAAAGAGCTCTGTGTGCACCATCGGGCTGCCCAGCTTCTCCGAGGCAGGAGTTAAGACTTACTGCAAAATATATATAACCCATAATGCCTAGAACAGATTGTCAACTGTTGTTTCAGAGTAACACTGGTCTAATTCCAAAACATCAAACACCTACTCGTCACCTACCAGGTGCCAAACATTAACCACAAGGCATGCGGTTGGGCTGCAGAGAGCAAATACGGTATTTTGTGTGGAGCACTGGACTGAGAATCAGGGGACATGGGTTTGTGATTCAATGCTGCAAGTTACTTACAAGTTACAAACTTGTTACAAACACTTACAAGTTACAAACACATCAACATTCCTTTGAGTTTAGTCACTTCATCTGTTGAATGAGAGGGTTGGACCCAAAGATCTCAAAGGCACCTTCCAGTTCTAGTGTTCTATACTCCTATGAGTCTGCCTGGCCACTTAGTAGAAAAACATCTACCTCCAGTTGACTTGTACTGAAACCTAGGAGAATATAAAAATACCAACAATTACCAATCCCAACAATTGCCCTGCCTCCCTTTCCATGCGAACCCTTGAATAGTTAGTTACCTGTTCTTCTAACTGGAAGTTCTTTTCTAAAACCAGAAGCATGTGGTCCCGTAAGGCTGAATGCTCGTGCTCCTGCAGGACCCCCCGTTTATCCTTCAGGAAGAAGAGGAAAGGAAGTCAGGTTGCTGAAAGACTCCAAAATCAAGGTAGGGGAGGAATATTCCACTAACACAGAATTGTGACAATTCTGCTTACTTGTCTAAAGGTGGGATGCAGGAAAAAATAGCCCCTCCTGGTCCCTTTTCCAGCTCTAGGATTCTAAGGCGTCTATGAGACAATTTTAAACTTACAGAAAAGAGAATTGAGCCACAGTCAAAATTCTCAAAGCGGATCTCCTTCTGTGCGCTGGGAATCTAGGACTGCGGGTTACGTATGGTTATCATCTCTCAAAGAGTCCCCCATAAAACTGATCTCCTTGGGTGGTTAGCTTCAGATCAGTGTCAAGCCCAAGTGAGTTCTGTCTCCTACAGAGCACGCATTTCCATGCTGCTTTCTACCAAAGGCCAAAGGTACGCAACCTGATGGCAGTTTCAGCCTGCACAAATTTGTTGCCCTCAAAAATCCAAGGATATGGGGCGCCTGGGTGGCTCAGTGGGTTAAAGCCTCTGCCTTCGGCTCAGGTCATTATCCCAGTGTCCTGTGATCGAGCCCCACATCGGGCTCTCTGCTCTGCGGGGAGCCTGCTTCCTCCTCTCTCTCTCTGCCTGCCTCTCTCTGCCTACTTGTGATCTCTGTCTGTCAAATGAATAAATAAAATCTTTAAAAAAAAAAAATCCAAGGATATGTTTGCTAGAACAAAGGGTGACTTCTTCCCTAATCATTAAAATACTGAGTTGCAAACTGCAAATATTACTAGTAAAAGCAAATGTTAGGTGTTCCGGGTGATTCCGTGGACCTATGCATACATTTACCATCAATTTCTCTTCAGTTTAGGATTGGCCCCTCATCCAGGGAACCAATCTCATCCTCAGCTTTGGTACTGAGGTGAGTTCTAGAGGACAGCCCAACTGGGAGTTTAGAACTAACTGTCAAGAAGATCTCTCTAGAGTTGGAAAGCAATTCTGTAAATTGTGCACTAAAAAGGTAAACCCTATCCTTTTTGCAGCCAAGATAATCTCAGGTTTGATATGTGAAAAGGTATGGACTCTTCACTGATTTCCTTAAAAGGCTTCTCACGAAAACATTTTTTTCATATAGGTTTTTAAAATAAATGTATGCTTATGTCAAACAGTACACCAAGATATAGAATGAGAAGCAAAAGTCTCCCTCTCCCCAACACCACCCCCAATTCCCTAGTCTCTCACTCACCAGAGTCAGCGACAACATGTATACACTTTTAACTCAATGAGATCATAAGCATATTCAGTTTTTAAAAATACGTATCTTATTCTTTTTCTCAGATGCATGGCATTCCAAAATATAAATATATAGAATTATATAGTCAGCACTTCAGTGGTGGGCTTACAGGTTCTTAGTTTTTGGTGGTTTTTTTGCTATAAAAATTTCTCTGTGTGAGGGTGTTTGTATATGTGCAATCATTGTGTACTTAGAGTATCTATGAAAATTCCTAGCAATAGAATTATAAAGCCAATGTGTGGATTCACTTTTTTTTTTTAAATAAAGACATTTTTATTTACTTTTTTTTTTTTTAAGTAATCTGTATGCCCAACATGGGGCTTGAACTCATGACCCTGAGATCAAGAGTCATATGCTCCACCGACTGAGCCAGCCACGCACCCCTCACTTTTCATAGATATGTACCCAAACTGCCCTCAAAAAGAGTTGGATATTATAAATTGTATTAATCTTTGTCAATTTGATGGTGAAAGTTATATTTCTTGTTATAATATATCCTTATTTAGGAGTGAGATGGGGTGTCTTTTTTTACATCTATTAATCAGTTGAATTTTTTCTGGAACTATTCATTTATTCCTTTGCCTATTTTTCTATTAAGTTAGATAAGCTATTTACATGTAAGAATGTTTGTATATAAGGAAAATGCCCTTTTTGTCTTTTGTCAGATGTTGGAGATATTTACCTCTAGTTTGTGGTTTGCCATTTGACTTTATTTATGGTATTTTTCAAAAATCACATTAAAGTTTCAAGTATTTGTGGTTAAGCATCAAAATTATAGCTCTGGTTTTGTGTCAGTCATCTAAGAAAGACCTTTATTTTAAGAATAAAAAAAATTTGCTCACCTTTACTTCTAGTATTTTTATGATTTTTTTTAAAAAAACTTTTTATTTGGAGTACTTTTAGATACACACAAAGTATGAAATAATACAGTGCATTATATCTCTTAATGTCTAAAACTCTGATCCATCTGGAATGTATTAAAGGGAGGTAGGAATCAAACTTTCTTTTCTTTTTCATTTATTTTATACAATTTATTGACAAATATTTTTAATAGTTTTTAAGGCAATAAAATACACTTTAAAACATGATTTCAAATCGCTTCTGTTTCAAAATACTTGGTGATAGACCAGGAGTACCAGAAAACCAACATTTATAATCATCAGAAGAATGACTCCAGAACGTCTCAAAATCTGGTGGAGACCGCGGAGTCCGAATTAGAAAAATTACCCAGATGGTTAATTTTATGTGTCAGCTCGGCTGGGCCATGGTGCCCAGTTGTTTGGTCAAAACTAATCTAGATGTTGCCGTGAAGGTATTTTGCAGATGTGATAAACATTTACGATCAGCTGACTCTAAATAAAGCAGATTTCTCCCCACAGTGCCGTAGGGACTCATTCAACCAGTTGAAGGCCTTGAGCGCCAAGAATAAGGTTTCCTGAAGAAGCAGCACTTCTCAAGACTATCACATAGAGGGGCGCCTAGGTGGCTCAGTGGGTTAAAGCCTCTGCCTTTGGCTTGGGTCATGATCCCAGGGTCCTGGAATCGAGCCCTGCATCAGACTCTCTCTGCTCAGTGGGGAGCCTGCTTCCTCCTCTCTCTCTGCCTGCCTCTCTGCCTACTTGTGATCTTTGTCAAAGAAATAAACAAAATCTTAAAAAAAAAAAAAAAAAACTATCACATAGAAACTCCAGCCCGCTGGTCTGCCTTGCAAATAATCCGATTCCCCAGTGCCCTCAATCACGCCCTCAATCGCATAACCTAATTTCCTAAAATAAATTTCTATGTATGTGTCTACATGTAGATACGTTATCTCCTACAGATTCTGCTTCTCTGGAGAACCCTCACTAGTAATACGGCCAGTCTTAAAGTTCCTCCATCGTGAATGTCTTCTGTATCCTGAAGGGGATCAAAGAGTAAAATAAACCTGCCCAACGAATTCCACAGTAGAATGTAGAGGCGGAAACAAAAAGGCATCCCGTACCTTCACAGTACAGCCGTAGTGCTTGAAGGGACAGTCTTGCTCAGCTTCAGGACACACAGCAAGGTGCTCATCCACCTACGAAAGGGACAGCCTCGTGCCACCAAAATTCATCACCAATTCTTCGGGTGCCTGAGAGAGCCCCAAGGGTGGCTTGGGAAGGAGGGAGGGAACAGAACGGGGAAAGCCACGCTGAGGCCTGGTGGAGGGAGAGCTACGGTAAAAACGGAGAACTCCTTTCCGGAAAAAGGGAAGGGGACACAGAGACGTGGTTATTGTGGGTGTTCTCTAAACCTTGGGCCTCAGCCTGTGGGATTTGATCAAACACACACCACAGCAGTTACTAAAATGTTATCTTACATTAAATCTACTAAGAGAATCATTTACAGTTACCTCAGTTCTTGGAATAATCTGCAAACACTTATTGGGACAAGATACTGGGTACTCGGGACACAGGTTTTCCTCATGATACTGAAACAGAGAAAGGGTGATAAAACAGAGCAGTCCTTGCTTCCAGGGTTCCTTTCTATGGCCTCAGAGTGTTTATGCTTATGTCTCTGGGAATGTATGTTATGTGGCTTCCCCTCCCCAGGAAGGTACAGCCTAGTTCCAGAAAGGACTAAAGATGGCTGCTTCCTTCCCGGGAATTCAATTCAGTTTTCCAATTATTCCAAAAGAAGGTCAGAGGGCACAGGCCTTCCGGAGGGCAAACTATGAGAGTCATCAGTATGGCTCCTTTGGTACATATAAAAGGTACCTCATGCCTTCTTCCTCTGCCTACGTCCTGCCACTCCAGTCAGATCATAGTGGCCTGAGGACACAGTATCGTCACCTCCTTGTGACCCAGCACCCAACATTGCTCCTTGCACACTTACACTCAGTAGGTGCTCAAACAATGCTTCTGCAATGATAAAGGAGTAGGGTCCTACCAACAAGAAGGTGTTTTGTTTTTTACAGAACTCTCAGATAATTCTTTAGATCTATTTCTGTACAAAAATAAACTCAGTAATGTCCTGATTCACTGTGACCGCTCAGGTAGAATTTAGTCCCATAAAGATGATTCATCTTTCTTTCTTTCTTTTTTACCTGCAGACTGATTACTACCACATCTTTTTTGCAATAAAGGCACTTTTCCTCTCGAAAATGGCAACGTGCGCTCAAATGTTCTTTCAGATCTTTCCGAAGGACTTGTTCCTGACAGTTCTCATTAGAACACTGCACAGCTTGAAACAGGCACTGCTGGAGGTGGTCCTGCAACAGAAAAGACAGGCCAGTGGGCCCCACTGAGGCGGGGCAGCGGGACGGGGAGCCAGCTGGACGCCTGGAGAGGGAGGGAGGACACTGGGGCCAGCTGGACAGACGGAGGCCATGCCAGCCTTGTGCGACAGGAGTTGGGAGGACACGGAAGATGGCTGGAGAAGGAAGCGTGGGGAGTCTAGTTTAGACTATCTGTTAGCTCAGATTCTCAGATTAATTCCCGAATATTTTCCTTAGGCTTGCTGAGTGATCTACCCTTTCTGCAAGGACATTCTTAATTTCTTTCTGCACCGCCGGCACCAAGTACTAATCTCTGTACAGCAGATGGCAAATGCCAGGACGGAGGGGGACGAGGGAAGAAGAGCACGGCGTGTCCTAAGAGCAGAAAGGAAGGGAAAGGACGACAGAGAGGAAGGGCAGATGTTCTAGAAGGGCCAAGAAAAGCAGACGGAAGACATACAGGATCATAGGCCCAAGAGAAGCTGGGAATGGTCAGGCTGTGTTCAGAAAATAGGTTTCACCAGAGTATGAGACAATGATACGGTCACTGCTCATTCTAATATTCTCCTGGTACAGACTTTTAAAAGCAAGAGGTATACTTTAATAAAACCTTTGGACCTTTGCAAGTTATTGTGATGCTAACAAGTCATCAAATCCCTAGTGAGTCCGACCCCTGTGAGATCCCCTAAAACACAGCTGGCCTGTTACTTGTTTTTGTAAATAAGGTTTCTCTGGAGAACAGCCACCCATCTACTTGTTTATGTACTGTGAGGAGTCGGGGGGGGGGTACTGCTTTCCCCCTGAAAGGGAAGAGCTGAGCTGAGCGGTGGATACAGAGACCGTACAGCCCGCGAAGTCTGAACATTTTACTAACTGGCTCTTGACAGAAGAGTTTGCGGACCCCTTTCCTGAAGGCGAGAAAAAGCAACCAGTTTTTCTGCAGGAGGGAAATAAATATTATAGCTACTCTCCTTTGCCTCTAGTAATAAGAAACAAAGAGGGACGACTGAAATCCCTATCTTCTCCGAAATTTGCTGCTGCCACCCTTCCACCCTTGCTGACACAGTCAACACTCATCACGACTCTGCTACCGGGAGAACCCACACCTCACCACCATGCAAGCGGGAAACACGGGAGAAAACAGGTAAAAAGAAACCAGCCACTGTTTTCTGGAAGCGGATGATCGGGCCACAAAAGCTGATGGCTGGATGGTCCATTTGAGCCTCACTTCCTGCTCAGGCTTCGTGACCACGAAGTTGGAAAAGAGGTCCTGCTCTAGGGCTTGGCTATCAAAACTTGAGAAAGTTCTAGAAAGTTCGGTGAACTTCCAGAAAAATCCTGGGGTTAACGGGGAAAGCATCTACACATTTAGAAGCTCAGCGCCTAGGGGGCTTGGAGGCAAGGTGGAGAAAGTCTGAATCACCTGAAATGTGTTCCAAAAATGTGTGGGTGGGAGAGGAAAATTTCAGCTGCCTCCAAGCCATTCTCTGGAAGCTAGAGATGCCTGGTTCTTCTTCCTGCACAGTGTGATCAAACCTGATATGGGCCTGCCATAGCAGAACCCTGTTGCCCCATTTCCAGTATGGCATTTACCAAGCTTCCCACTTCCCCAGCTGGATGGAAGAACCAGGCAGGGCAGCTTCGTGTGAAAGTTTAACACCCCCTTGCTCCCCCCACGCCTCGTGTGTTTGCAGCTCATACCAACGCTTCACCTTTAAACCACATCCTAGCACTGATCTGGTCTGCGTTACATGCCTCAGATCATAAACTCTCAGGCCACGGCCCATAGCTGCTGGGAACCACCCACCCACCACCTGCCAGTACTTTCCGGCAGGGACCCTGGCAGTCATGTCTTTCTGCAGACTGCTGTGGCTCCCACCTGAGGATCCCAAATTCTTCACAGTTCCCCACAAATGACATGTCCTTTGGCCCTGCATGTCCCACATCTTGTCTTTGGATCAATGACCCCCTAACCCACAATTTAGGTCTAGCGCGGAGAGTGGGCCCTCCATGCATTCCAAATGAAATGGACCTCTTCCCTCGCACCTTAGCCCTTGGTGGGCTGTACTGCAGCCAAATGTATTGCTAGGCAGGAATTCTCTGAGAACAACCTAATGAATCCCATACCATGCTTAGCCCAGGAGCTGTCACATAAAGGTGTTCAACACATACCACTGGAAAAAATGACAAAGGCAAATTTATTGGTCCTGAGTAATACCGACCTGGTAGCGTCCCAGAATAATCTTGGCATTACATCCAGGAGCATTTTTGCAGTACACATATAAATTGAGGACTTCCCTTTTACAGCAATTGTCTTTGAACACCTAAGAAGGAAACATAATAGGTCTCATACACTCCAAAGCTTCAGAGCAATGTGAATGAAACTATTATTAATTCAGTCTTCAAATACATCTCAACAGTCAGGTAGAAACTTCCAGACAATGGTTGGAATGGAAATATCAGATTCGGCACCATCAAAGAAGAGGCTTTCTCAGATACATATTTCCAACAGGCACTAAACACAAGTCAGGAAATTCAACGCTCCGTGCGGTAGGCTGCAGGAGAATCTCATGGTGCACTTGACCTTTTATGCTCAAAGGTCAGAAGGTGGGCTGTGGAGGAGGGTGACGCTTTCAGCAGCTTCCTGTCATAGTGTAAAAGTCTGTATTAGTCATCAGGTAGTGTCACGGAGGCTGTGCTGACTTTGCTATTCCAGTGCACACCAGGAGTTAGCAAACGTTCTAACGTTCTCCGTAAAGGGTCAGATAGTAAGTATTTTCAGCTTTGCAGGCACGATGCAATCTTTTCTTTTGCAACTATTCAGCTCAACTGTAGACAATACTGAAATGGATATCCATGGCTGTGTTCCAATAAGCCATTATTTTTTTTAAAGATTTTATTTATTTATTTGACAGAGAGAGATCACAAGTAGGCAGAGAGGCAGGTAGAGAGAGAGGGGGAAACAGGTTCCCTGCTGAGCAGAGAGCCCGATGCGGGGCTCGATCTGAAGACCCTGAGACCCTGACCTGAGCCAAAAGCAGAGGGTTAACCCACTGAGCCACCCAGGCACCCCTCAAATAAGCCATTATTAATGGACACTGAAATGTAAATTTCATGTAATTTTCATGTGTCACAAGCCATTACTCTTCTCTTGATTTTTAAAATAAGTTTTTTGTTTTGAAATAGCTCAAAGGCTTAAGAGAAGTTGCAAACATAGTGCAGAATTCCTGTGTACCCTTCTTTGGATTTTTTTCAATGATTTATAGAGAAACCATTCTTGGCTCACAGGCCATATGAAAACAGGTGGCAGGCTGGATTTGTCCCAGCAGATCTCATGTTGTAATACGCCAACCATGCCAACCCCTGATCTAGCGGGTGAGGCACACACAAACACAGCACTGTCCTCTGCTAGGCATTTGCAAAATACAACATAAGAGCATAGAGAAGGAGGGATGCCTGGGTGGCTCAGTCAGTTACGTGTCTGCCTTCAGCTCAGGTCATGATCCCAGGGTCCTGGGATGGAGTCCCCCATCAGGTTGCCTGCTCAGCAGGGAGCCTGCTTCTCCCTCTAATAGTCCTCCTGATTGGGTTTTCTCTTTCTCTCTCTCTGATAAATAAATAAATAATCTTAAAAAAAAAAAAGAACATAGAGAAAGAGCATGTACAATAGATCAGGTGTTCAGGGAGCTTTCTGGAGGGGGTGATGCTTGAACGTCTTCCAACAGAATTGTAAAGGAAGAAAATTGAGCTTAAATGGAAGTTTTAAGGGAGGGGCACTTGGGTGGCTCAGTGGGTTAAGCATCCAACTCTTTTTTTTTTTTAAGATTTTGTTTATTTATTTATTTGACAGACAGAGATTACAAGTAGGCAGAGAGGCAGGCAGAGAGAGAGGAGGAAGCAGGCTCCCTGCTGAGCAGAGAGCCCAATGCGGGGCTTGATCCCAGGACCCTGGGATGATGACCTGAGCCGAAGGCAGAGGCTTTAACCCACTGAGCCACCCAGGCGCCCCAGGCATCCAACTCTTGATTTCAGCTCAGGTCATGATCTCAGGGTTGTGAGACTGAGTCCTGGGTGGGGCTCTGCACTGAGCCTGGCGCCTGCTTAAGATCCTCCCTCTCTCCCTCTGCCCCTCCACCCCTAAAAAAAGGAAGTTTTAAGGGGGAAAATCTTCAGGTTAGGAAACAGTTCCTTAGATGCAACACTAAAATAACAAGCAACCAAAACAAACAAAAGACAAGTAAGACCTCATCAAAGTAAAAGCTTTCATGCTTCAAAGGACACCACCAAGAGAGTGAAAAGATGAACCACAGAATGGGAGAAAAATATTTGCAAATCATGTATCTGTTAAGAGCCTTGTATCTATATATAAAAAACGCTTAGAACTCATCAATAAGAGACCAATAATCCACTTAAAAAAGGGCAAAGATGGGGCACCCGGGTGGCTCAGTGGGTTAAGCCTCTGCCTTCAGCCCAGGTTCTGATCTCAGGGTCCTGGGATCAAGCCCCGCATTGGGCTCTCTGCTCAGCGGGGAGCCTGCTTTCCCCTCTCTCTCTGCCTGCCTCTCTGCCTACCTGTGATCTCTCTGTCTGTCAAATAAATAAATAAAATCTTTTAAAAAATGGGCAAAGAAATTGAATAAGCATTTCTACCAGAAGATATACAAATGGACAAACACCTGAAAAGATGCTCCATATCATTAACCATCAGAGAAATGAAAATCAAAACAGGTATCCCCTAGAAAGACTATAATCGAAAAGACAGACAGTAACAACTTTTGGCAAGGATCTAGAGATGTTAAAACTCTCACAACCTACTGGATGGAATGTAAAATGGTGCAGCTGCTTTGAAAACAGTCTGACAGTTCCTCAGAATGTTACACATAGAGTGACCATTCGACCCTAAACAGAACTACCACATGACCCAGTAATTCCATCCCTGGGTGTATACCCAAAAAACATGTACACTTTAAAGGTAAATTTTATGGCATATGAATTATATCCTAATAAAGTTATTGTCAGAGATAATAATAATGGAAGGAAGTTTTAGAGATTGACCAGAGAAGAAAGTGAATTCCAAGAAATAGGATGGATGTTTCATTTCTCCAAGCAACTCAGTACACCTGGAGCTGGTGTAGGAAGGGGGTAAGGAGAGAGCAGAGGAGAATTTGGATTGGGGGGGCAATAAAGCTCTGAAACAGTGGCAGGAGTGGGGCTTGACCTGACCGCACAGCAGAGGAACGTGGACTCTAAGAAAGGGCCCCTCCCTCTCCCCTCTACTGCTCCAACCTCTATGTCTAGTTCAACCCAGGACACTGTCTTCTCCATCATCCAGCCAACTGCTAAACCAAAGCGGGGATTTTCTTACCTCCTGAGATCTGATAACCTCCTTATCTACAGGACAGAGGGGGACTGCATTTAATTCTCTGGAGAGAAAAATAAAAATAGAGCCAAATTAAGAGTTGACCTCAACAGCTCTTCCAAGAGCAGCCCCAGCAGTCCAGCCATGCTTGACCCCTTTGAGCAACCCCTGAGCAGGCCAGGCCTCATCTTCCCACCATTCTGCTCCCTACCCCAGGAAGGGCTGTATCTCTCTCCCATCTGTCCATTGTATCTTCAGCACCTCCCCAATCTGCTGAAAAATTCCCATTCATTCCCCACAATGCAGGTCAAATAGTAAGTCCCCCAGACAGAGTTCAATGTCCTCTGCCAGTGCTTCTCACCCTGTACCACAACCTGTCTCCTTCACTAGACAGGAGCATTCTAGGGGCAGAGACGGGGTCTTGGTCACCCTGGACCTCCAGCTCTTCCTCTCTGTGCCCTAGAGCTTAGTTTAGTAAGGAGCCTGGAACACACAAGTGCTGAATGGACAACCCCATGAGGGGACAAGAATGGGCTGTGATAATCCCCTTTCCAAGCCTGGCAGAAGACAGCTTACTTACAGCCCTAAATAAGCCCCCAGAGCCTGCTTCCACATCTCTCTCAGTCTCCTCCTTGAGGATGGCAGGACCCAGCTGCACCGAAGCAGACAGTGTGCCCACTGAGGCACACTTTCTGGATGGGAGACCGCCTCTTCCCTTAGACAAGGAAAAGTCAGAGCCACCACCAGGAAGACGCCTGTGAAATGCAGGCCCTTCCCAACACAGACTGTGCCTCCGGGTCTGCCCTCCCATGCAAAACAGGTGTGGTCTACATTTTAAGAAAAGGTGACTGTCAGGAGACCCAAGTCATGTACAGAATTCTTGAGTCATTATGTTGTACACCTGAAACTAACAGAACCCTGTATGTTCATTACACTTGATTTCCTTTTTAAAAAGGGGGGAAAGGTGACTATTAATAAGTGAATGGCAAAAAAACAAAACAAAACAAAAACCCAAAAACCGAAAACCAAAACATGATTCCTCAGGCTTTCAGAGAAGGGTTCAGGGAGAGCCCCTCGTTGTGTTCATGGTTCTGTGGTCAACCACAGCAATTCCCAAAGCTACCATTCCAGTCCAGTGGCTGAGCTGGACACTGGGGTCCCAGGAATACCCCTCCCCCACCCGACTGCTTGAGCCCAGAGCGGCAGCCACCCCCCACACTCACCTCAGGGACAGGATACAGTGTTGACAGAAGCGGTGCCCACAGCCTGTCTGGTGGGGGTTGTGCAGCACGGAGTGGCAGAAGGCACATTTGTAGCGTTCTTCTAATTGCTCCACAAACCAGTACTCTGTGTTGGGCTCAAAGTCCAAGGAAATGGAGTTGCCAGAATTTTGGCGGATGAAACCACAGGGGACACCTCCTTGCTCCTCAGAATAAGCCATTCTGCGGGGGAGGGGGGCAGGAGAAGAGGAGGAAAACTGAGTGTGTGGAGATCAAAACAACTGTTTCCTACTTAGTGCACATCACCCCCATGGGCATTCTGTTGACTTCGTAACAAACAGTAACAACCTCCGGCCACTGGGGGGCTCCCACACATGGGAGATGTCTTTGAGGAGGAGGCAGGAGGCTGGACCAGACTTCTAACGAGATTTTATGACTTCAGACCTTTGCCCATCAGCCTCTTACAGGATGCTAAATTATCCTGTCAGTCTGGCCACACGCTTGGACCAAATATAGCCAGGTGGTAACTACATTCTAACAGACTCTTGTTATGGGATTTTCTTCCACTCAGTTGAGAGAATGGAAACAAAGGAAGAACCTTGTATACCAGTACGTTTCTTGCAATATATATCGCCTAGTATTTTTTGGAAGAACCTTGTATACCAGTACGTTTCTTGCAATATATATCGCCACCGCCAAGCCACATCATTTCTCACGTGAACTAAACAAGCCCATTAATTGCTTTCCCCTCCCATCCATTCTCCATACTATAGCCCAGGGCAACATTTGCAAAATGCAAAATTCAACTGTGATTGAAGTTTACCTCCTCTCATTGTTTAGTGGCTTCCCAGGCTCTTAGGGGAAAGTCCACAATGCTAAGAGAGCTATAAGACTGCATCCTCTCCACCCAGCAGCATCCTGGACCTCTCCTACCCTTGCTTTCTGCACTTGAGCCATACAGGCTTTCTTTTCATTCTTCTAATACATCAAGCTATCTCCTGCCACAGGGCCTTTGCATAAGCTATTGGCTCTACCTAGAATCCTTCCCCTGTCCCCTTCCAGTCTTCTTTGCTTCACATTCATGATTCAGACTGCAAGTGTCATAACCTCAGGTAAGCTTTCTCTTCTCCACTCCCCTTCCTCCACCCTCGTTGAGCAGCAGAACACCCACTCATGTCTAGGAAGCATGTGTGGCCTCCAGGGAGTGGCTGAGGGATGATGGTAGGTGGGTGGTGGTGGGGCGGTTAATTTTTGAACATGAATATAGTACCTATTCAAAAATAAACAAATACACAAAAACAGAAACTAAACATCCACTGTTGTATCTATCTTAGAACCTGGTTCTAAAATTCAGAGGAACATTTGATTTTAAATTAGACATGCATTTGTGTGAGTATTTGATTTATATCTGTGCTCTTCAATGACACAGAGAACACCCCTGGTGTTACTCAGGGTCGTGTCTCCAGCCCTCAGCCCCAAGCTGGGTATGGAGAACGAATCAACTGTTTGTGGAATTCATGTGACCAAATGGACTCTGACAAATCCGCAATAGGACAGCTCTAATTAGTGTTGCCCACTAATGCAGTGACCCTTTAACTTTTTATAAGGAAGGACTTTCCCCGTCTTTGAAATCTGATGAAAAGTCTGGACCTTCTCCCCATAAAACAGCACGGACACCTGATCTCTGGACCTCTGCAGACCCTCTGAACCCACCGGTTTCCCCAGTTAACCACAGGCCTGCCTTCCCAGTAGGAATGCTGTTACTTTGGGCCCGGGACCAGGAGTGGTGCTTTCACAGAGTCCAGCATGTGGCTAAAGGCTGGGAGGCCAACGAGGGTGGTCCCTGGGAGTGACATCCTTCCATGTGGTTAGGGAACAGGAAGGCCTGGCCTTCAGGCTTGCTTGCTTTGGCTTGCTCTCGGGATCCCTCAAGAATCTCCTGCAGCTCATGAGGTCAGCTGGGCCTGAGAGCAGCTGCGTGTCCGGACAGTGCAGGCAGGAATGGGCGCCATCCAGCACCGGGCCTGGCTCCAGTCAGCTGCCAGCCCCGCCCAGTGCCCAAGTGGTCTGAGTCTGGGCTGTGGCCGCAAGACTGGAGCAGAGAAAGCAACTGGCCTCTTAGATCAGCAAATAAAGCTTTCTCTCTGGAGAAGACCCACAGAAGAGGGGATTTTTTTTTTTTTAATCCTGGGGTTTGAGACCAAAGCCCCACCTTTTCCTCTCTGCATGTTTCCTGCAGAACTTCAAGGGGGGTAGAGAACCAAGACGTGATTGTTCCCCTTTTAACCTGCTTTACTCTTGAGAGTTAACAAGTCTTAACTGTGAAGATGAAGAGGCCCAGGACTTGATTCAGGTGCGCAACCCTAATGCCCCAGACTCCCCTTTCTCCAGAGAAATGAAAACACCAATTCCAAACCTCCCTCATCTGCCCGGCGTTCTCTGATCCCAAGGGAAGACAACAATTCATGTCCCACACCCCTCTAGGATTCTCTCTGAGACCAGGCTCGTCTCTGTCACACAGCATTTAAATTTGGACGCTCAGAGATGTGCCCTAACACAACAGTCTGGCTCAGCTCCTAGAACAGGGCAGTAAGGCGGACAAGACTCAGTCTGCTTCCCACCCACTGCATTCTATCCTCTTTCCTAACAGAGGAATTCAATACACTCATCTGTGTGCCCCTCTTTCTCTACAACAGCCGTTCTCAAACTTTTTGGTCTCAGGACCCTCCCTCCCACCCTTTAGACTCTTGAAACTGAGGACCCAAAGACCCAGAACAGCCAACACAATACTGAAGGAGGAGAAAAAAATTGGAGGATTGACACAGCCCTACTTCAAGACTTCCTACGAAGCAATAATAACCAAGATAGTGTAGTAGTGGTGGAAGAAGAGACAGATAGATAAATGGAACAGAAGAGAGAACCCAAAAATAGACCCACATAAATATAGACGACTGACCTCTGACAAAGAACCAAAGGCAATACAATGGACAAAGACAGTTTTTTTCAGAAATGGTACCAGAACAACTGGACATCCACATGCCAAAAAAAAAAAAAAAAAAAAAAAAAAAAAAAAGATGAATCTAGACGTAGACTTTCCACCTTTCACAAAAACTAACTCAAAATGAATCACAGACCTAAACGTAAAATGCAAAGTTATTAAACTCCTAGAAGACAACACGGGAGAACATCTAGATGACCTGGGGTACGGCAATGACTTTTTAGAGACAATATCAAAGGCACAAACCATGAAAGAAAGAATTTGTAAAGTGGACTTCATTAAAATTAAAAATTTCTGCTCTGCCTAAGACACTGTCAAGAGAATGGGAAGACAAGGCACAGACTGGGGGAAAATATTTTCGAGACACATCTGATAAAGGACTGTTATCCAAAATATACCTCACCAGAGAAGATAGGCAGGTGGCACATCAGCGTATGAAAAGGTGATCCACATCAAATGTTGTTTTATTCACCTACTAGGATGGCCCAATCCCCACCACTGATGATTCCAAATATTGTTGAGGATGTGGAGGGACAGGAACCTCACTCACAGAGGGTGGGAATGCAACACTTGGGAAGACAGCCTGGCAGTTTCTTTCTTTCTTTCTTTTTTAATATTTTATTTATTTATTTGACAGAGAGAGAGAGAGAGAGAGAGATCACAAGTAGGCAGAGAGGCAGGCAGAGAGGGGGAAGCAGGCTCCCTGCCGAGCAGAGAGCCCAATGCGGGGCTCAATCCCAGGACCCTGAGACCATGACCTGAGCGGAAGGCAGAGGCTTAACCCACTGAGCCACCCAGGCACCCCACAGCCCGGCAGTTCCTTACAAAACGTGTCTTACCATCCAGGAATCCCTCCTTGGTATTTACCCACGGGACATGGGAACCAATGTCCCCATAAGAACCTGCACACGGATGTTTACAGGAGCTTATTCATAACTGCCAAAACTTAGAAGTAAATGAGATGTCCAATAGTAGGTGAATGGATACGCTGGTATATCCAGACAATGGAATATTCCTCAGCGCTACTAAGAAATGAGCTATCAAGCTGTGAAAAGATGTGGAGGAATCTCAAGTGTATATTACTTAGTGAAAGAAGCCAATCTGAAGAGCCTTTGTAATGTACACTACCAACTATAGAACATTCTAGAAAAGGCAAAATAATGGAGGCAGTTAAATGATGGGTGGTTGCCAGGAGTTAGGATGGAGTAGTGGGAGATGAATACGAGCTGCAGAGAGGATTTAGGGGCAGTGAAAATACTCAGTACGATACTGTAGCAGTAGAGACATGTCATCATGCATTTGTCCTAAAACAACATCTTATCTGCCTAAAGACAGATCCTGCAAAGGGAATCCAATTATTATAAACCACCTCTCCAGGAGTCTCATCAACCAGGAAAGAGCAGCTCATCACAGGAGAAGAAACTAGAAGGTGATACTCAGACAAACTCAGTCATAAACGATCACACCTCCCCCCAGTCTTCTAAGGGCCCATTTATCTCTCCTAAAAATTATTTGCTGTCCCCTAAGAGGCTTACTTCCCCTCCCCTTTCCCTCTTAGGATGGTATTCAAGCCTGAATTCCAAGCCACCTGAGAGAGTTACTCGTTTTTCCGTGGGTATCTCCCACGAATACACGAGTTATATGTGTTGTTAAACTTCTGGTTGTCTTTCTCTGGCTAATCTGTCTGTGATCACAGAGGTCTCGGCTAAGAACTCAGAAAAGTAGAGGCGAAATTGGTTTTCCTCCCCTACCCAATGTAGGTTCATCAGCTGTGACAAATGTATCTCTCTGTTGGGGGACGTTGACAGTGCGGGAGGCTATGCATGTGTCAGGGCGAGGGGTCTGTGGGAAATCTCTGTACTTTCTGCTCAATTTTGCTGTGAGTCTAAAACCACTCTAAAAAATAAAGTCTCAAAAAAAAAATAACAAAAACTGAGGACCCCTGAGTTGTTTATGTGGGTTATAGTTATCGATATTTACCAATTTGAGATGAACACTGGGGAGTTTAAGGGTGCCTGGGTGGTGCAGTTGGTTAAACGTCTGACTCTTGGTTTTGGCCTAGGTCATGATCTCAGGGTTGTGGGATCGAGTCCCATCTCAGGCTCTGCGCTCAACCCAGAGTCGACCCGGGATTCCCTCTCCCCTCACTCCTCCCACTCATGCTCGCTCGCTCTCTCTCTCTCTTTCTCAAATAAATAAATAAATAAATCTTTTTAAAAAACTG